TAAGATTATAATTACAAAGATTTCAAAAATAAACACCATGCTAATAATATTAGTAACATTTAATTATTTTCTCTAACTAATTTAATATTGATTTATCTTTCCTAATAATTTATCGAAAAGTTATTATGATATAGATATAAAATTAGGGTATGCGTTTTTCACTGAAAAAAGATTTTGGAAAATGATTTTCATAAAATGAATTTTATTTTCTTAAAAATCATTTCTTAAAATCATTTTTACGATATGTGGATGGAGATGTGTAAATCATTTTCCACTTGTTAGTAAAATTTTAAAAATATTAAGATCACTATATTATACAATCCAAGACGAAAATAAAATAAAAACAAATCGAATTTTATTAATAAAGTAGAAGAAACATGTTAGAGTAAAGAACCCGAATAATAACATGATATCGAACTTGAATCAGGTTGAGGCTTGTAACAACGTAGTTTCCTTAAGATAGATTTTCGGTCACTCCTTGGCGCTCAAGATATCTTGGTCGTCTGTCTCTTAGGATACAACAACGATATGATCAACTCACAGTAGCACAACTTGCGAGATCACGAACCAAATCTTGCTAGAGACTATCACCGAAAACAAGAGAGGAAGAAGAGAGTTTTTGAACAGTGTTTAACCTAGTAGGTTAGCATGGTATTTATAGTGTTTCACAAAGGAGATGAATTGGAAACAATATATTTGGGCTATTAATTAGCATCTGAATAAAATCAGAAATAGTCAATTAACACCGTATCATATCGAATATATTCGTGAATTGCAATTCATATCATATTTAATATTTAAATTAAAAGGAAATCGCATAATATTCTTTTTAATTTAGAATATTCAAAAAGATAAACTTCATTTAAAGAAAATATTTAATTCATAGTGGATAAAATATTCATAGGCTCCTAACCAATTCAAACTATAATGTTAAATTATTATTATTAACAATATATTTCTATTTTTTATTTTTAATAATAATAATAATAACATTGAAATTATATTAAAACTATAATGTTAAATTATAATTAAATTATATGTTAATATGTGATTCAAGTAAATTTTGGTCTTTTAAACTTATATTAAATTCAATTATGTTTTAACTTTGAGATGAATTCATTAAAAGTTTTATTTAAAATTTAAATCCCTTTATATCTCAATTAAAATTTCACATATTTTTATAAAATCTTCAATTTTGAACTAAAAATATAAATAGAAACTAATTTATTATATTATTATGTAGTTACCTTAAATTTATTTGGGTAAACAACACATTTTATACTTCAACTATCATTTTTTATTATGTTTTAGTTACTCAACTATTTTTTTCAAATCATATCTAATGTTACGTTTTGATTTCATTTTAATCACTCACCGTTAAAAAAATTGTTGACTTGATATTTTTTATTTTCTTAATGAGACAAAGCATTATTACCTTATGATGACACATTAGCATCATTAATTTTTTAATGACGCGTGACCAAAATGAAACAAAAACTAAATATTATGTATGATTTTGAAAAAAATAGTTAGGTGACCAAAATGAAAAAAAAATGACAATTGAGGTACTAAATTTGTAGTTTACCCAATTTATTTTGATAAATGAACGAAACTAACCTATAACTTCAACATAACCTATAACTTCAACAAAAAGAGCTTATAAATATGGTAGACATCTAAGACATTTTCCATCATCATATCACCATGCATGATCCCAATTAGTGCATGTTTTCCCCTATAAATGTCCTCTTTATAAAACTCATTATGAAAACATCAAGATTGGAAGACTATATTTTCTTCTGTGCAGTGTAATTTATTCTCTTAAGTTTTACTGCCATCAGACATGGAGATATTGGATAATGTAGCCAAGTTTCTTCAAGGCAAGACTATATTAGTCACTGGTTCAACTGGATTTTTGTCGTAGGGTACTACTCTTATTATCTCTTTGCTAAGCTAATGGAGATTTTATTGAAACTACAGCTAATATTTAATGATTCATCCATGGCTTCTAGTCTTAGTGGAGAAGATATTAAGGCTTCAACCAGATGTGAATAAGCTTTATCTTCTTTTGAGGGCTTCAGATGAAAACTCTGCCATGCAACGTTTGTGTAACGAGGTATATATGAAGCTGTAAAATACATAGCATAACTAATATTCATATGAGGTCTAAAATTTGTATGCAGATCATAAGCACAGAATTGTTCAGGATTCTTCGAGAGAAATGGGGTTCGAAATTTGATCACTTGATACCATGTAAGGTAATAGCTATTGACGAAAACGGGTAAAGAAAACAAAAGAACACGAGAATTTTACGAGGTTCGGCAATGTGCTTACGTCCTCGGTGCCTAGGCGGCGCTAGAAGTTTTTTCAAATGATATTTTAGGTCTAGGTTACATCTCTATTTATAATAGAAAACTCTGGTACATAATTACAAAATCAACCCTGTACCGTACCGTGGGGCTGCGCCCCCGCACCCCCAACCCACATAATTCGTAACCCCATAACGAGACTTTCTTTGTAAGGACAGTTGATGTTCGCTTCGCTCACTCCGCTCCATCTCCTGTCCTCTTTACTGGTATATTTATGAGCCATACCTAACAAATCTCCACCTTGGCGAATATCCTGCCCCTTGGAAACTTCAATGTGGGTTTGGTTACCTTGCTTCTTTAACAACTCAAAACATTCAACAAGTCCAAGCAATGCTTGAACTTGTCTGTCATAACTGGCTTGGTGAACATATCAGCGGCATTCTCATCAGTATGTACCTTCTGAAACAAAACTTCTCCAGATGCAACCAACTCTCTGATCTTGTGGAACCTTACATCAATATGTTTAGTTCTAGCACGATACACCTGATTCTTAGCCAAGTGAATAGCACTTTGATTATCACAAAGCAACTGAACTCCACCTTGTTGAACACCCAACTCCTTCACTAAACCAGTAAGCCATAAAGCTTCTTTTGCAGCTTCAGCCGCTGCCATGTACTCAGCTTCAGTTGTAGATAGAGCCACAACATATTAAACAGTAGACTTCCAACAAATAGGCCCTCCACCAAGAGTAAAGACATACCCTGTCGTAGATCTTCTATTATCCAAGTCACCTGCATAGTCTGAATCCACATATCCTATAACCAAAGGATTATCCCGCTGACTCCCAAAAATAATTCCATGTCCCACAGTACCCTTTAAGTACCGAAAGATCCACTTGACTGCTTCCCAATGTTGCTTACCAGGTTTAGACATGTACTTACAAACTTGACTAACAGCATGAGCTAAATCAGGACGAGTACATACCATCGCATACATCAAGCAGCCAACAGCATTAGAATACGGAACCTTTGCCATATCTTCAGCTTCTTTATCTGTCTTAGGGCACTATTCTGATGAGAGCTTAAAGTGATTCTCCAATGGAGTGCTAACTGGTTTCGCGCTGCTCATCGCAAACCTTTCTAGCATTTTCTCAACATAACCCTGTTGAGATAGCCGCAGTTTCCTTGAGTCTCTGTCCCTGCAAATTTCCATTCCAAGAATTTTCTTTGCAGCACCTAAATGTTTCATATCAAATTCCTGACTCAATAAAGTTTTCAAACCGATAACATCATCCATGTTCTTCGTAGCAATCAACATATCATCAATATACAGTAATAGAAAAATAAAAGAACCATCATCAAGGCTCTTAACATAGACACAACAATCATACTCACATCGGTTGTAGCCAATCTTGATCATATAGGAGTCAAACCATTTATACCACTGTCTCGGAGACTGTTTCAACCCGTACAAAGATTTCTTCAATCTGTAAACTAAATGCTCGTTTCTAGGTTGAGTGAAACCTTCAGGTTGTCGCATGTAGATCTGCTCCTCTAAATCACCATGCAAAAAAGCAGTTTTAACATCCATCTGCTCTAAATGCAAATCCCAACTAGCCACTAATGCAAGTACTGCTCGGATTGAAGTGTGCCTGACCACAGGAGAAAAGATTTCATCATAATCAACTCATTTCTGCTGTGAAAAACCCTTCGCTACCAAACGAGCCTTGAACTTCTCCCCCTCTTTTTCTGTTACTGTTGGTTTCTTCTTATACACCCATTTGTAACCAATCGACTTCTTACCTTCAGGAAGGGGAACTAACTCCCATGTGCGATTGTGATTCAAAGACTTCATCTCCTCAACCATGGCTGCCATCCACTTGTCGTTTTCCTGACTAGTAACGGCATCATGAAAAGTAACCGGATCATCACTGCTAACAATAAGTGCAAAAGATACCAAGTCTTCAAAACCCAATCTGTTCGGAGGCTTTATATTCATTCGTCTCACCCTGTCTCTGGCGAGACTATAATCCTGCAAATCATCCGTAGTGGAACCACCAGAAATCGGTTGAGAAGTTTCTGGTTTCTCAACTGGAAACTGCTCGAAATCCACCACTGTCGTGTCTTGCTTCTGCTGCAACATGGACTGTTCATAAAAAACGACATCTCTACTAATCACAACTTTCTTCGCAACAGGATCCCAGAACTTGAATCCTTTGACACCTTTCTTGTAACCCAGAAAAATGCACTCCTTCGATTTTGCATCAAGTTTGGATCTCTCATCAGCAGGTACATGCACATAAGCAGGACAACCAAAAATCCGTAAGTTATCAAAACTAACATCATGACCAGTCCATACCTCTTCTGCAACTTTCCCAGCCAGCGATGCCCTTGGCGATCTGTTGATAAGGTAACACGCCATGTTAACAGCCTCAGCCCAGAAGTGTTTGGGAAGCCCCGCATTCAACCGCAAACATCTGGCTCTTTCATTCAATGACCTGTTCATTCGTTCCACAACACCATTCTGTTGTGGTGTCTTGCGCACTATAAAATGCCTCTGAATCCCATGCTCCTTACAGAATTGTAGGAACTGTGAATCTGTGTACTCCATACCATTGTCAAACCGCAAACACTTGATTTTTCGTCCTGTTTGATTTTCTACCTCAACTTTCCACAGCTTGAACTTCTCAAAAACTTCAGATTTCTGTTTCAAAAAATACACCCAAACTTTCCGTGAAAAATCATCAATAAAAGTAATATAGTACCTAGATCCACCCAAAGACAATGTCGTGGAAGGCCCCCATACATCAGAATGCACATAATCAAGAATCCCTTGAGTTGTGTGTTTCGCAGTCTTAAAACGGACTTTAGTCTGTTTACCAAGAACACAATACTTGCAAAAATCGAGCTTACAGCTTTTGACACCATGCAACAAGTTTCTCTTGTGTAATTCTGCCATACCACGTTCACTAAGATGAGCAAGGCGCATATGCCACAATTTTGTCGTATCATCACATGACTCAACAGAGTGAACTCCACCTGCAACGGTACTCCCTAACAATCTGTAGATATTCCCTGCAGTCATCTTGCCTTTCATCACAGTCAATGCTCCTTTAACAATCCGAATGGTTTCCCTATCCTCGTCAGCCTTAGGGATAAAACCATTCTTGTGCAAAGTGCCCAAGGAAATCAAATTCTTCTTCAAGTCTGGGATATGTCGAACACCACTCAACGTCCGAACGGAGCCATCGTGCATCTTAATTCTGACATCACCAATACCAACAATATTGCAACATCGATCATCACCCAAATAAACTGAACCAGAATTAACCGGCTTGTATGTCGAAAACCATTCCCTATTTGGCGTGATGTGATAAGAACATCCAGAATCAAGAATCCAAGCATCCGTCAATTGTGTCGTTGAAATAAAAAGCATATCACCCTCACTGCAATCAGAATTATCATCCTCGACCACGTTCACAGACTTGGTTGAGCCATCACGCTTCTCATCAGTCTGCTTTTTCAACTTCGGACAGTCTCACTTCATATGTCCCGCCTCCTTGCACTTGTAACAGTGAATCGTCTTCTTATCCCTGGATTTGGATCTGGAATTCCGCTTCCCGGACCCTGCCTTCTCTGGCTTCCGTCCACGATCTCGATTACCCTTGACATATAAGCTATCGGCTTGAGAGTTTTCCCCTGCATTCTGCTTCCGCTAGTTGAGAGCCAACAAGGCTGCAGTAATCTCCTTAACGTTGATAGTCTATTTCCCATATGTAAGAGTAGTCACCATGTGTTCATAAGAGGGAGGAAAAGAACACAACAGAATCATCGCTCTGTCTTCATCCTCAATTTTCACATCAAGCCGAGCCAGATCAGAAACGATTTGATTGAAGACATTCACGTGTTGCGCCAAATCGTGATCGTCCTGCATCTTCAGCCCATACAGCCGCTGCTTCAGATACAGTTTTGTCGTTAAGGATTTGGACATAAACTGACTTTCCAACTTCCTCCAAATTTTGTCTGGAGACGATAGATGCATGACGTGATACATGACCTCGTCCGCCAAACATAATCGTATGGTTCCTGCCGCTCGCTACTACAATTCTTCCCAATCTTCCTCATCCATCGACGCCGGCTTTGAAGGTCGCAAAGCCTTCAAGATCCCTTGCTGCGCCAATAGATCCTTCACCCTCGTTTGCCATAATCCGAAGTTACCCTGACCATCGAATTTCGCGACTTCAAATTTTGCTCCTGACATCTGATACCAATTGTTGACGAAAACGGGTAAAGAAAATAAAAGAACACGAGAATTTTACGAGGTTCGGTAATGTGCTTACGTCCTCGGTGCCTAGGCGGCGCTAGAAGTTTTTTCAAATGATATTTTAGGTCTAGGTTACATCTCTATTTATAATAGAAAACTCTGGTACATAATTACAAAATCAACCCTGTACCGTACCGTAGGGCTGCGCCCCCGCACCCCCAACCCACATAATTCGTAACCCCACAACGAGACTTTCTTTGTAAGGACAGTTGATGTTCGCTTCGCTCACTCCGCTCCATCTCCTGTCCTCTTTACTGGTATATTTATGAGCCATACCTAACAATAGCAGTGGCTGGTGATGTCTCTTCTGAAAACTTGGGACTGAAAGATTCAATTTTACGAGAAAAAATGTGGAAAGAAATAGAAATTGTAGTAAATGCAGCAGCCACAACTGACTTCAATGAAAGGTAGTTTAGATTTATGCATGTCATAATTATATTATAACTATGGTTATCATCCTCATAATCAAAAGTAGAAGTTGTATTGAGTTGATCTTAATGTAGAAGTTTTCATCTTAGTTTCTTCTTACGTATCGAAGGTACGACGTTGCATTGAACATCAATACGTTGGGAGCTTTCAATATTTTGAACTTACGAAGAAATGCGATAAAATTAGGTTACTTCTCCATATTTCAACTGGAAATTATTAAATACGAATTATTCTTCATATTGTGTATGAGATTTTTTTGAAAGGGCTCTGATGTTCCTGCTTCTGGAGCAAGGGTGAGCTTGTTGGAATCGTGCTTGTCTCTTGCAGCTTCTTAGGAAGTTGTTGGCTAATAATGGTTCACTTTGGGTGGCTTGGGTGAGAACTTATGTTCTTAGGGGAAGAGATTTTTGGAGTTTTGATCCAAACACTGGGGTGAGTTGGAGTTTGAAGAAGATTCTTTCTCTTAGGGAGGTGACGAGACCTTTATTTCAAAATGGGTGTTCGGAGGCTATTCGAACGAGGTGGATTTGGAATGAGATAAGGGTGAAGAATGATAAAGTTCTTTGGCAGAAGTTGGTTTGGTTCCCATTGCGTATGCCTCGGCATTCCATTATTTCCTGGTTTGCTTTGCAAGATAGGCTGCCCACTAAATGCAAGTTGTGCCGAATGGGGTTGGTTCTTGAGGATAAATGCGTGCTATGTGGAGAGGAAGGGGAAACTAGGGACCACTTGTTTCTTGATTGCTCTTTTTCGGCTAAGGTTTGGAGGGCAGTTCTAGCTTGGAATGGGGTTCATCGTGCAAGCGTTGGATGGGAGGAGGAAATTCGATGGATTTTATCCTGTTGGAGGGGTAGGTCTCTTTCAACTCTCTTGTTTAAGATCTCTTTGAAATGCTTGTATATTTTTCTTCGGGAGGAAAGAAATAGAAGGAATTTTAGGAACTTACATAGGAATGAGGAGAGGATTATTGATTGTATTAATGATTTTGTTCAGATAAAGCTTATTAGGAGGAGATAGTCAATGGTCTGTATAGTTTGTTTAGGGTGTTGGACTGTTTTTGCAGCTTTGCTGCTTCTTTGGATTAAATATACATTTTATCCCCCAAAAAAATGATAATAACATGGTTTTTTTCCTCTTTTAGCTTATGTTTGTGGTGAACAGACGCGAATAATTTTAGAAAAACTATTTTATATGGGTGAGAGTTTGAAAGGAACAGATAACATAAATATTTTTGAAGAGAAGAGAATTGTGGACGAACAACTAGAGCAATTACAATATTATTTTGCCTCTGATAAAGCAATGTCTTCATCAATGAAGAAACTTGGCCTCGAAAGGTTTCTTTCTATATTTACCCTAAACGATTAGCTACAAAATGAGACAAAAACAATGATCTGAATCAGTATAATTAGCATACTAAACAACAACATATGTTTTTGTGTGTATGAACATAGGGCAAAATTGAATGGGTGGCCGAATACATATGTATTTACGAAAGCAATGTGAGAGATGCTTTAAGGGAATTTCAAAGACGATTTGCCTCTTGTTATTATACGTCCCACCATGGTTACAAGCACTTATAAACACACCCTTCCCAGGTTTATTGAAGGTGTCAGGTACTCAACACAAATATTCAATTGCAGAAATCAAACTACAAGTTCACAACTTATGGAATTTATTTCTGGTTTCTTATACACAGAACCATGAATAGTGTCATTCTGAGTTATGGAAAGGGGAAATTAATATTTTTTTCTAGGCAATTTTAACTCTCCTCTTGATGTGGTAAGAAAAAAATCAACATAATTAGTTAAAACCCAAAGTGAAAAAGATGAATTTCTTAACTATATGTGCAGATACCAGTAGATATGGTGGTAAATGCCATTGTTGTGGCCATGCAAGTTCATTACGCAGATAATTTTCTCTTGAGAACATTTACCATGTCAGTTCTTCATTCAGAAATCCTATGAAATTGTCAGATCTTCGAAAGTTTATACGCTCTTATTTCACAAAAAAAAAACCCATGGATTGATGCAAATGGGAAGTTAGTAAAAGTTGGTAAAGCAACAGTCTTTAGCACACCCAACAGATTTTTCCTATTCCTGCAACTCAAATATGTGCTCCCACTCACGGTTTGTTCTTCTCAATTTTCAGTTTTATGAAGTATTTTTACATCAAATTATTCACTCTTTTTCAATGTTTGTAATCTTGGAATACAGGTGTTCTATTTGATCAATATACTCTGCTGTCAAGGTTTCAAGAAAATTTATACCAAACTTGATCGTAAAATTAAGTATGCGCTTCGATTAGTAGAATTTTACAAACCTTAAGCGTTCTTCACAGGGATGTAAGTTTCTATTTTGCATTCTATTTTATTTAACATTTCAATTATGTTACATTTATTAATATAAGCATTTGAAATGTCTTTGTGCTCTTTTAAACAGATTTGATGATCAAAATTTGGAGAAACTGCAGAGGGTGGCTGAAGAGAGAGGCATTAATGTAGCTGAACTCAACTTTGATTCAAAGAGCATTGACTGGGAAGATTATACAATGAACATTCACATTCACATTCCAGGCCATTTACAACATGGAATTAAATCTTAAGTACTGAATAAAATATTAATAATAATAATCTGGGTTTGAGTTTCCGTACATTTGTGAGACACTATTTGATATCATCATGGTATTTTTACGAGTTTTTCGTTTGGTGAACAAACTTTGCTTCTGATATTTCAAGGAACTTTGTTAGAACTTGAGTTGTGAAATAAAATCAGTTGTGGGATAAGTACAACTTTACTATCACCTAATATATATATGTATATATATGATGAAACATGTACATATCTATTGATTCTTTTTCTACAGTTTATGGTAATTATTAGGTAGTATCTGTTTAGAGTTTTTTTTAATTATTAACAAGGCATTTCCTATAGATGTATATGTTCGAACATGAGAGCTCTAAAGAAAATAATACATCCCTGTTACCACATAGATAACTCGGCTTAGATCACAAAAACTGTAGGAATATGTCTGAATTAAGCTTCCCTTTCTTGGACTAGAACCGGTAAGCCACCTCTCAAGGTGGCAGTAAGACCAGGGGCAAACCTGGGTGGTTGAGTAAGACCGGGAACCAGGATTTTGAACCGCTTGATTACGGCCAGAACCACACATTTCATCTCCATGACTGCTATTTCCTTCCCTAAACAAACCCTTTTCCCAGCTTGGAAAACTGGGAACTTGTACGAGTCATGAGGCATGTATCTACCGTTTTTCAACCATCTGTGTGGCTTGAATTGAAGACAATCGGAGCCCCAAACCTGCTCCATCCGACCCATTGCATATGGATGGTAGGTAACCCTGGTGCCTTTGCTCACAAAGGTTCCATCAACCAATATGTCATCTTCTTCAGCAAACTTGGAGTCGAATTGGACCGGTGGGAAAAGTCTCAGGCTTTCGTACAAGGCCGCGTGCAAATAGTTCATTTCCCGCATTTGGTTGAAACTCGCGAATTGCTCGTCACTCGAACCCATGACTCGTTCCAGCTCGTCTAGGATGGCTGACTCAACTTCTGGATGCTGAGTTAACAACCAGAAGAAGCTAGTTAACCCTGAGGCCACCGTGTCGCGACCGGCCAAGAGGAAACTTACGACAATGTCTCTGAGATACTTGTCTTCGTTGATAGTTCCCATGAATCTTGACAGTAGATCGTTTCTTTCAGAAAACCCATTTTGTCGCCGTTGATTTATCATCTGTTGAGCAAATTCATCAAGTATTTTAATGGCTTCTTTAAGCTGCTTCTCCGTGCCTAAATTCAGTAGCCTTTTGACCTTCCATATCAAAGAAGAACACGCCAGCCCTCTTTGTGCCGAAAATTTAGATGCCAAATCAAAAGCTTCAGCGAATTCTGAAACCGGCAATGATAATTCCAGGCAACCGGGGTCTAACCCGAAGGAGAATTTGCATATATTATCGAATGAAAATCTTCTAAACACATCTTGTAAATCAAGAACCTGTTCTTTACCGGAAACCGACGATAAAAGAGGCAGAAGCCTGGACTGAATCTCTGATTGAACAATATCAAAAGCGTGCGCTCTTACGGAGACGCCACCGAGCTCGAGACTGGCCATTTTCCTCTGAAACTTCCACGAATCGCCGTCGACGTTGAAAATACCTCTACCAAGAAGATCGCCGAGGAGAGTGGAGAAAGTTTTCCCTTTCGGGTAAATTTCAAATCTGGTTTTGAGCATGTGCTCGACATTACCAGGATTTGCCGTGATGATATTGCCAAGAACATGGATATGGATGGTTCCTGTGGCGGATCTTTTAAGAAGATGAGTATACCAGTCACAAAGATTGTCGAACTCTTTGGCCCAGCTTGAAGTAAGATAAGCCTCGCAGATTTCACATTTACACCATAGCTTCGACCTCAAAACGAAGACCAGCAACGAAAACAAAGAAAACAAGAGGGTGAAAGTGAAGAACACGAAGAAGAAAGCACTAGTCATGGAATAAAACCATAAGGAAAGTTCTGAATCCATTGATTAGACAATAAACAAAAAGAAGGAGATCAAACGAGTGAAGGTAGGATGAAGAATTGAAGAGAAACGATTCATTTATATATAGTATTGCCTAAGCAGTGTCGAAGATATCAGTAGAAAAGTAGTGATGCTGATATTCCAGCTGTTTGACACACGAGAAAATATAATTAATTTTGCATGAATAACGCGTGCGCAAAATCAAAACAACAGTCCCTTTTCCCAACGAAATTTGCCAAATTGGGTGTCCCTCCTACGCTAGCTTTTCACTATCTACTTGCTTCTTAGTTCCGCTCCATTCAACAGCCTGCCTTCGAATTGAAATTTTCCTCTTTTTCTGCGCCTATTTATCTGATGAATCTATAATATCATTTAATATTACCATACTTCTCGAATATTTTTTTTTTCAGAAATTATTAATCTTTTATCAGCCGAGATTCTTGGATAAATTTCTTCGTTTTCCAAGAAATCTATAGTCTTGGGGCACGAGTATTATAGTTTTTTTTGACTCCGTTACAATTAAATTCATTTAATCTACAGACTTATGGCTTGTCATAATTATTCTACGTCTAAATATTTAATACCGTTTACTATAATCATTATAAATATCTCTCGATATGATTGAGAATGAGATCTTTTCCACTTTTTACACCTCTTTTACTCGCATCTTACCCCTTACGATTTTATCTTTTTCACATAAAAACATCGTTTAACGGTCATTACCTTATCGATTATGACTCTTTACTCAAATTAGAAAGAATGAACCGTTAAAGACTCACGAGGTAAATTTATTATCAATTTACAGATAAAAGGTAAAATAATAATTATAAGTAATATATATTTAAATAAACTAGAATTAAAGTTGATTGCTATAAATATTATTGAATTAATAATTAAATTATAATGAAATCCAAAGATAATTCACACATAATTTATATTAAATTACTCCAAAGTCTCATCATTTACTAACTTTATCAACAGAAATTGAATCAAAGAACTTAGAGTGATTTTGTTCTTAAAATAAAATGTATTACTCTGAAATCCTTTAAAAGAATATAATTTTATTTTGATTCCTAGATTCACCTTATGTAGCAAAAGTTCGTTCATTAATATTATATGCAAAAAATTTTAGAAACATGTGGATAAAGAATAAGACAAGGGCTCCGTGAGTGGCAAAACGACAAGCAGGGAGGCCAATTTGAGATGGGTGATATTTTAAATCATGCCGACTTCAACTTTGGAAGGACGTTTTCTTTTAACGTTTTGCTGAATGAATGTACACCAGAATGCAATAACTAATGTTTTTTGGTTGCAATAAATAATTTGTGATCCCGAAGTAGAAGCAGGACACGTTATGCAAGTAGTTGGAAGATGGGCATGTCGGCCTCGAGTGCGCGTATACGTCTCTTGATTTGGCGCTGCAGACAAAGCAAGAGTCGAACCCACACGTAATCCCAATATCGCTGCCCACCCACCGTTTTCAATTTAAAGCACACAAATGGTTTGTAAATTACAAGAAATTAATTTGTTCATTCTTATAATCATTCAAAGTTATAAATTTATTTTTTATTACAACGTGATGTTTTTTTTGAGTTTTTATTATTATTAAAAAGTTATAAAATTTTAAAAATTGTATAAATTAAGTTATTTCAGTGGTAAAGAAATTATTGTGCGAGGTTTGGGTTTGAGTACAAAAAATATCAGGAGTGTGAGCGTTCAATATAAAATGATTGAGAGTTTCCTTTGAATAGATATTACATTGTACTTACTCTAGTTTAATAAAAAAAAATAGTCACTCAACTATTCACATGTTCAAACTCAGTATTTCTCGTTAAAAAATTGACGATCGTTTGAGCTTGACGTTGACCTCTTGATTGAGATGTGATAAAATTTGATCACAAAACTATTTGAGATGTATTTTGTATATCGACTCTCCGTTTACATTATGTCTTCAACCATTTCTTGAAACATTATGTCGAGGACAGACTTATCCCAAAAGATATGCAGACCCAATGCTATTTTTCTAAAATAAAAAAATTAGTTGACCCTTATTCTTATATGTAATGGGGTAAGGGGGAGGTAGGATAGTAGGCTGCCCCCAACACCATGTTGAGAGTAGCTTCTGTGGAAGACCTCCAAATTATGAATTGCCCTCCGTGGAACCCTTAAAATATTTTCTAATAAGATGAAATTATAAAATATCAAAATTTAAGATATTGAAATTAGGATGGACATAAATAAGAATTTTTTTTGTCCATTTAACACCATAAATTTGAAAATTTTTAAGAAAAAATTGATTACAATTGAATTCTTGAGATAATAAGGAGAAAATTAGGAGGAATTTTTTTTTTCAAATTTTGCCACGGAAATTTTTTTTCCTAGGTTAATAGGTTTTTTTAAGTGCGGGGCTCTTAAGTTTTAGGGCCATGTGACGTATCACAAACTACATTTGTCAATGGACAAGTTTGATCGACGAGACAGTCCTTGAAAGCAATAGTGGTGTCAGTGGGCATCATTAAAACATGATTTTATCATATCTCAGTCAGTAGGTTAACATCCAACTCAAATGACTGCCAATTTTTTAACAGAAGATGACAAATTTAGAACATATAAATAGTTAGATGATCATTTTGTAACTATTAATAATTGAGGGGCTCAACAAAAATAGTATCCTATAATTAGAGGATCATTTTATAACTTTTAATAATAAGATGACTCAATAAAACAATATTCTATAATCAGTGACCATTTATATATTTAACCCTAAATTTTATTATTAAGTAATAATAAAATATATTTATAAAAAATATTATGTAAATAATGATTATAATATTTTGCAAAGATTGGATCGAATTAAAAAAATATAATACATTTAACAATCAAATATTAATTACTCCTATTTCTAATTCATAAAAAATATTAATTATTTCGATCGAGGATTTCATTTTTATTTCTGTTATATGAACAATACTTACCTATAATAATTTTATAATATATTCTAATTTACACATCACTAAGAATTATAAGGCAAGATATCATATATTCGTAACAAATATTTATTTTTAATTGTAAAAGTTTGGTTTATTAGGTTAATGTGTAGTTTAAGGATAATTTATTTACCAAATATTATATATTTTTTAATTCACTGTATATATGTTATCTTTTTCTGAAATTTAATTTGTCTCTAATTATATTGTAATTTTATTGTGATATAATTTTTTAAGTTTTAAAATTTTTAAAAACTAATATAATAAAATTATGCAAATAATTGATAAATAAATATTGAAGAATGAAGATGGGCTTGTCGGCATTGAATGGTCGTATACGGCTCTTGATTTGGCGCAGTAGACAAAGCACGAGCCGGAGCACACGTACTGTCAAATTTCGCTGGTCCACGCACCGTATATTCAAATATTTTTATTTTATATATATGTATGGTAAATAAATAAATATATATTAGGATTGTAAACGAATAGAACGTTTAGCGAATCATTCGTGAATCGTTCGGTGAAAAGTTCGTTTATGTTTATTTATTTATTAAACGAAAGAACATGAATAATATTTTGTGTTCTTTTAATTAAATGAACGAACATGAACAGAGGGCTCGTTCGTTCATTTATGTTTGTTTATGTTCGTTCGTTTATGTTCGTTTATGTGCGTTCATTTATGTTTAGTCCAATCTCTCTAGACCCATTTAAAATATTAAAACCCAATAAATTTTAATCTAATACCCATAAATATTTTAAAATTCAATTAATTTTAAATACAATTGAATAAAGCTCAAAACAATTAAATATAATATAATCCTAAAATTGTTTGGAAAGAAAAATATATATTTTCATTTATGTTCGTTTACGTTCATTTATATTTATTTATTGTGTTTGTTTATGTTCGTTCATTTGTATTCATTTACGTTCATTTATTGTGTTCGTTTACATATGTTCATTTATGTTCGTTCATTTGTGTTCGTTTATCATTTAAATGAACGAACATGAACGAACACGAATAAGCTACATTCCTTAACGAATGAACACGAACAATAAATTTTTTGTTCGTTTATGTTCATGTTCGTTCATTTGTTCGGTTAAAGTTAAATGAACGAACATGAACATACTCTCGTTTGTATTTGTTCGGTTTGTTTACAGGCCTAATGTATATATATATATAGCTTTTGTTTTTGATCTGTCTTATTTAGGTTACTAGTTTTAAAAAGGTTACATTTTAGTCACTTTTCTTTTTGATCTGTCCAATTTTGATCAATGGACATTTAATTCTAGTTAGTTTGCTGACGTGACATATTGGTAAAAATAGTTAAATTTTAACTTAAATCTTAAATTTTAGACAAAATATTAATTTAACAAAAAAATTTGCATAAAATATTAATTTAACTCCTGAACTTTAGATAAAATACCAATTTGACCTATGAATTTAGTCAAAAGTCTCCCTCATTGGTCGTTGTGCACCACCGTTGTCTGTCATTGTCGGTTGTTGTAACATCCTCAATACCGGGTTAGTGACCAAAGTGTGAAATTTTAAAAATTAGTGACCAGATTGGATAAATTGAAAAAATGAAGGAATTAATTGAAATATTTTATATAGGATAGTTTAGTAAATGAATAAAGAGTCAAAGGGCAAATTGGTCATTGAACAAGGAAAATAATTAAATAATAATTATTGGGTATTTTAATACCCATGTGGAGCATGTTTTGGGAAACAATGTTTCCAGATATTTCTTCTTCATCTTCTTCTTCTCCATCGTGAAACATAGAAGCAAAGGTGAGTTTCTTAATTAGTTGATTATTTGCTGAATTAAAGGTTGGGTTATGATCCTTAGGTGATACTTAAGCTTAAGGAAACCTTAAGTTATCTTATAATCAAAAGATGAAGACGTTATAAGAGATTGAAGGGAATGTGTTTCTAAATAAATTTCTGGAAAAGAGTTGATAAGTTGAATTTGAAACTAAAATTGATTTGTCATAGGTATGAATAAGAACTTATAGGTGTTAAATCAAAGTTTGGATTACATGGAAAATTTAGTAA